GATCACGCAGTGCCCTCATGACCCTCTTGCCGCGACTAGTTTGGTAAGTTTCAAAAGGTCATCGTTTGTAAAGGCAAAGAATAGGTTTATACTCATACGCAAAATATCGTTCCGCCGGTGAAACTAGTTATGTTTCCACCACAGGATGCCCGTAAAGGATCTATTTAGTTGGTGCGTGCTAGGCACTTGCAATTGATGCGATTCAAAATTAATGCGACGAAAATACCTTCGGCAACTAAGACAATTAAACTCCCAATTTTGAAGCAGATCAATCCACGTCTTACTTTTACAAGAGGCAAATTTTGATGCATTTAACGTACATGTACAAATAATGAGAACAAAAAGGACCATCTTCGGTATTAATAATGGTTCGGCGAATTGCCCAAGACATAAAATGAATGATACTCCATGTAAATTCGACTCGCCCCGGCCTAAGTTCGCATACATTTCACCACACAAGTTAGATGATCGGTGCGAAAGTGTGCGGTTACTGACCTGTTTTGTTGTTGTTGAGAAAATTCAAAATTTGCAGAACAGAACGGTGGTCTGACGAGCGCCCTCTTGCGCCAGGTAGCTTTGCAGCCAGTCTTTCCCATTATAGCGTGAACAATGTCGCGTCGACGTGAACTATATACACTCGACCTTCACGGGGGTGGGGGGGGGGTGGGGGGGGGGGCAAGGGAGGGAAACCTACAGAGAACTATAGTGTCAAAGCACATTTTGCCTGTAAAACACTACTTTGACATATTGTGCAAAAAAGGCATATGAACAGCAATACTCATACTGAGGAGTGACAATAACGTGAAATCGCTAGTGAATCGCTTGATTTCATTACCCTCCATTTGAAAAGCTCATCATTTATTGACATGCGATTGGCTTGTGGTTGACTTTAGACTTGCAAGGATTTTAAGTGCTTCTTGGGATATGACGGACACAATGTGAGGGCGCTATTTAGTCTGGCGGGTAAATGCGGTTCGCTCGTACCCCCCGCCCTGCAAACAGGACGCTGGGATACTCTGATAAATTCACGCTCTGATTGGTTGGATTTTGTGTGACCAGTGACCTGCGCGTCATCTAGGTCATGACTCTGTAAGGTTTGAAACGGCCGTTAAGACTGCTTCATTACTCTTTTATTCCAGTTTAGAGATGTTTTTTTCTCGTTGAAAAGCGTAATAATGTAGGAAATTCTGTAAAACTTATCTGTGTTGTAAATTTACAATTCCCGTCACTCGCCAAGGCTCCGTTTCGAACCACGAACGGTCGGATTGCATTTATGCGACGCTCAAAATTTTGTCCACATGGTCCGCAATGAAACAGAAATTTGAAAACCTACAAAAAGACAGACGTGGACAGGCCGACCACCGTTGGAAAAACCTAACTATTTTTCAACTACTGCTCCAAATTTACAATTTTTTTCAGTCCAAATTTTGTTTGCTATTGGTTACATGTTCATGAACGGGTGCAGGCCAGCTAGACTGGTTCCCTTTTCTTACAATTTTCCGACATCTATAAATTGATCCATTTTATCTTTAGTGGAGTCAGGGAACCAGACTACTTAAACAGTTTTGTTTTTCTTGGTTTTTCAAGCATTTTCGAACACAAAACCTCAAACATGTCAGTTAAACAATATTTGATCTACTATACTAACCCCTCAAATAGTTCATTTCTGAAAATTACAGCAAAAGCCAATGATGTACATTCCCTTTAAGAATTTTTTTTTTCTCAGACGTCTCGTAAATCCAACGCCTCATTAGTCCGACACCTCATAAGTCCGACAGCCATTATTTATTAATACAAACATTGCGTTAAGTGTCAGAATGTTAGCGCCTCTAATTGTTAGCGTTAGTGATTACACAATGACATTAAGGGATGCACCAGACCCCCCCCCCCCCTCCCCCGGTCGGATTTACGTCCGTAGCATCAACCCTTGCGCCAAAAACTGCGCGCTGGCGGACTGATCTGCGGCCGGTGAGTTCATGTGCACAGTGCGCCGTCCATAAGTAGACAACCTTGCGGATTGAAAAAGGCGTAAATTTTTGTTTTAAATCTCGTTCTCGCCTTGTCGGACAAAATGAACCTTTTTTTGGTAACAGTCCATAGCTACGACGCCTCATAGGTCCGACGCCTCGTTTTTCCCGACGTCGGAATTATGAGGCGACGGACTTATGATACGGCCCCGCGGCGGGGGTTCTTGTGAAGAGCGTTTTGTTGCATGGAGGAATGCTGAATTCCTCCTTGATCTAGTTCATTCAATGGCTTTCGATTTTACGAAAAAAAGTGCTGAGAGTACTTTACCGCCTGTGTGCGCACTTACACCGGAAAATGTACATGTTTACATTAAAGTTCCTCTGTTGTTCTGACGTTTGTTTGCATGGGCTTAATCGTTGCTTAGTGAGGAAAATATTGTGAGTGTGGATTCCAGTAATTTAGTATCGGATAACCGAGCGAGTGGGATGAATCACTTTGTGGTTGAAAGATGAGAAATGAGAACAGATGCTTTGTATCTGGATGTCTGTGACAGTGACATGAATATATAAATAGAAATACAGTGTTCATTTCTCTATATGGTGCAGTATTCTTACATGACTATTTCTGCCTCAAAATAAAACCCAATATAAGGCCCCCCCCCAAAAAAAATACTCGGTCTCTGGTCAAACCAAAGTTCCGGAATTGATGCGGCGACGCGGCTTCTTTTTTTGGGGGGGGGGGGCTTTTTTTTTCAAGCTTGGATTGTACAGACAAGGTGGGGTACTATTTTGCTTTTTTTGGTGTCCTCATGTACATTGGTGTCCTCCATAATTTGCCTTGGTGCCCTCGATCTTTTGCCTTGGTGCAATTTCCCATTCCTTGGTGCTCTTTGGTAAAAAAAAAATTGAGGAGGTGCGGCAATAGAGGGCGCTGTTAGAGCTACCGCGGAACATTTTGGCAAAAAAAAGATTGACGCGCATGATTAAAATCGACGCGCGCGCTGACCAGAGACCAACTATTTTTATTTTTTTGGCCTAATCATTTTGCTTTTAATGTTCTGCATTTTTGTGTCATTTAATTATATCAGCTATAAACCGGCTCAAATAAATAGCTGAAATAAAAAGGGGTCACAAATCATTCAAATTCAAATAAAACAAACACAAAGAAACCAGTTTCCATTTTGTGGACGATATGGATTGGACTGATGAACTCACTCCGGGGTCTAGGTCAGCAGAAATGTCCTGCAAGGAAAAAATGCCCAGCATTTAAGTCCCACCAAATAAGGCTCTGCATGATACCATGCTCATAGGTCACGCCAACTATCTTGCCATCCTGTGACGATACGTATCGGCATTGCGCAGGCTGATTAAAGAACTTGCCCTTTCGAAACAGGATGTGGAACTCTGAAGGAAGGTATAACTGTAAACAAACAACTTTGTACTATTATTATTATTATTTTAACAAATATCCCCACCTTAATTTAAGACCGGATTTTGTCCAATCAGAGCTAGCACACATCGGTGTTGTCATCACAGGTGTTAAATAATAACCATATTAGACAGTTACACACGATGACAGTCCACGTAGGTGTTTCCGGAAATAAGTCTAGCATATTGAAAGTTTGCTTTGTTTTTGCAGTCCTGCAGGTGTTTTGTTAAAGACTCGGCACATCCATCCGGTTAAAGGAAGGAAATTAAAGTTTGACTTGAGTTCACTCACTCAAAAGACAAACCCAGTTTTACAACTGATAGTGTAGTAACCAACGGATAACGTATCACCAACCGATCATGTCACTAAAATTGACCGATATTGGAGCACTAACCGATAATGTAACAAACAATTACCGTAAATGTAGTAAAATGTACTATACTATCAGTCAATAATGTTGTTACATAATTGGTTTTAAACGATAATGTAGTAAAAAAAAATTGACTAATAGTGTAGTAACATTTACTACACTAGCAGTCATTTTTTTTTACATTATCGGTTAGTGATACAATATCGGTCAATTTATGTGACATAATCGGTTGGTGATACGTTATCCGTTGGCTACTAAATTGTCAGTTGTAACCCCCAAACTGTAGTCAACCCGGTGGTTACCGATATATATTGTAGTTGGAATCACAGCTTCTATACAAAAGATATATAATGAAATAGGTTGGGGTCTTGATTTCTAAGCTCTGGCAGGAGCTTCTTCATGTCCCTTGGTCTGTCTGTCTGTCGGTCGGTCTGTCTGTCTGTCTGTCTGTCTGTCTGTCTGTCTGTCTCATAAAAATTGACCAAACGTATGGTGTTCCATAGTGCCATCGGCGTCGCATTCTTCAGCTCTAACAGGGATCATTTTGATCGATTTCATGCGAAACTTTCATGCAAGACCACCTGCAACGCGGCCAGAGCTTATTGTGCACTCGCACTCGTTTTTCTGCAATTCCACCATGCTGAGTGCATGACGCATTGATTCGTTATGTCGGCCTCTTTTTGATAGCATGGGTTTCTTACGAACTCAGCATTCCTGGCCTAAGTTAAGTGACTGAATTCACTTTTAAGAATCGCCATCGCCTTGCAATAAAAAGAACTACAAAATCCCAATCGCCATCGCAATAAAAGAAATGACAACATCCCTTTAATCCTAACTCCCTAAGGTGAGTGAAAAATCATATTAAAATTGGAAGATTATGGGACTGGAGGGCGCAGCTGTAATATCAAAGCACACAGAAAACCTGACAGCCCGACGGACAGCCCGACGGTGCGATTGACCTGAAAGGATGTTGTTTGAACGGCCAGACAAACTGTGAACTAAAACAACAGCAAAGCGCGTAGTGATGGAAACTGCCCTACCCGTTATTCCCACGCACGTTGGTCATCCCTTCTCATCTTTCACCGTTCGTATTACCTTCCCGCCCAAGGTGGAAGAAAAGTGCAAATTCACCAATTGACCCGTCGAATAATCGTTTACATTTCGAACCCAAACACACGCTAAAATTGTCGGTGAACTCACGTCCGCCATTGCATTTACACAAGCTGGGAAGTGACACTACAAACGTCTATAAAAACAACACTCCAGGATCCGTCCGGGCCAACAATTCATTAAACTTCGACCGACGAGCTCCTGGTTTTGCAATCTTCCCGCCACCATGGGGCACTTGTTTGTGCTGTGTCTTCTCTTGCTCGGTGGAGTCAGCGATGCAAGGCGTCAACGCCACGAGGAGCGCCGCGAGTTTACCGGCGATGACATGAGAGGAATTATGGTAAGAAAGCAACATCCCATGACATTATTTTGCTGGTGAATGGGAGATATATTGCTGAAGAGATCTAGAGCTGAAACTTCTCTCATCTTATTCTTTAATTTGTCTCTATCACAAGTACCTTGTCAACAGAGTTTGAACACTGGTTGACGTCAGTGCATTCATAAACCCTGTTGGAGTAAATGATCTGTAGAAACCGGTGGTTTTGAGCCAAAATACTGAACATTTGAGCAAAATATCGGTTTTCTTGCGAACAAGATAGAAATGTAACTCCCACGTGTAATGGGTGTCGTGTTAATCATTCCATGATTCTTGGTTGTAATATTCTCCGTAATTTAGGCCTAATGGCTTGTGTGGAGGAAATTATCCGTTAAGCTTAAAAAAATGGTCAAGAATGTAACATTTTCAGACCTCAGAAAAGTAGTTGCATGCTATATATGACTTGAAGCTTTGCGTGGCGGATGAGATAAACTAGGAAAAATTGCGGGTAACACCATGTGGAAGGAAATCTCTTCTTGAAAGAAGTGTGGTTCTGAAAAGAACCGATTGGTTGAGTGTAGAACTCGACGTTGGATGCTAATCATTCCATTCTGTAGACTTCTATCCACCCGAACGTTGTGAATTTTCAAATCGATATTTTTATGAAATGTTATTAAAAGTATACACACCTCTCTTGGTTAAACTGCTTGACTGCTACGCACTGAGATTGACAGCGACAGCTCTTGTTTTTGATCCAGAAATACTTGAAGAAGTACGGCTACATGGCCACGAATCTGGATTTTGGGAGGCCCATCGCTTCCATCGACGACCCTCGGCTAACTACGGCCTTACGCAGGATGCAGGGATTCTTCCACCTGCCGGCTACGGGCGAACTGGGCCGGCAGACGGTCGAGATGATGAGACAGCCCCGCTGCGGTTGCCCGGACGTGATGGATGGTGGTGTTGGCGGTGACGGGGCTGATGTAGTCATGATCAACCGAGAATCGCCTCAGGATTATAACATCGCCGGCCGGAGATTCAGGTGGACGCAGACGGATCTCAGCTTCCGGTAAGTTTTTGCAGTCTCTGTTTGGAGTTTCTAGTCATACTAAATGGGTTCAAAATGTAATGTGTGAACCCAACTTTGGTGTGAATGCAGGGGCAACGTGGACAAAGCTTTATATTGGCTATTCCGACGTAACTTAACAAACACTCTATATACCGCGAGCTTGTGAGAGGAAAAATGGCAAACCTGCTCTAGTGGGAATGGAACCAGAGACGTAATATTTGTTAGAGTAGATCACTCGGGCATGGAGCTTTCCAGTTTGGTTACTCGATTGGAATCCGATTAATTAATTATTTGCTTAATTTAGTATATAAATGGAAGAATATCCTAGCTCATATCTCGTAAACATTTGACTCTTCTTAAAGCAACAACGCCAGTTGATAAAGACACCGTGATGGTGTCGCAAGCTCCTGATAAGAGCTCTGTAATTTAAGTCCCCAAAAGACACCTTTACACTTTTCTCAAAGCATTTGATTATAACCTTCCCCAACACGAGTAGCCATATCAAAGTAAGAGATTTTGATGTGATGGTTTTGACTTTTTTGGATGGTATTTTGATGGTAGATACGTGAATTATCCGTCGGGCCCACATTCTCTACAGCCGGACGAGGTGCGCCGAATCGTCAGGCGAGCCTTCAACCTCTGGAGTAACGTCACTCCCCTTACGTTTCGCGAGGTCAATGACCCTTCGCAGGGGGTCGACATCAGGATCAAATTTGGGCGTGGCCACCACCACCCGGAGGAGCCGGGTACGACGGCATTCGATGGGCGGGGCGGCGAGTTAGCACACGCCTTCGCACCCTATAGCTTCTGGGGCGAGCTGGAGGGAGACATTCACTTTGACGATGATGAAATGTTCACGGCTGATGGCATTGAAGGTGAGGCATGACACTTTAATACACATAATTATCTGGGCCGTTTTTGAAACCGCGGTTTAGTCTCGGGCTTTGGTTTCGTCTCTTACACCCGAACGATTTGCGTGCCTTTGGTGTTGTAACCGTATAAGCAAAGAGTCTATGGCTTCAACATATCATTTGATTTCCAATAGCAATGAACCAGTGTAATGAGGCCCAGTGTGTGAGACCTAAAATCATGACGTCTGAGTTCAAATCCAAAGCCGAAATAGATCTTTTGATACACGCGCGCAAAGGCCGCATTTGAACTACTTGGCAATTACACACGTGCTATATGACAGTGGCCCAATCCACTTCCATATAGACGCACGTAGGCAAGTAATATATTGAACGCAGCCTAACAGTCATTGTCAAATATTGCAGTTTATGTCGCCCAATGATCGTTGCAAACACATTAAGAGAAGCAAAATATCTCGGGTTTTTTCAATGCAGGGTATGCCTTGCTCCTGGTAGCCGCTCACGAGATTGGGCACAGCCTGGGCCTGGCTCACTCAGACGATCCAGATAGTCTCATGTGGCCCAACTACATGTATGTCCCCGTCAATGGCTACAGACTGCCGCCGGACGACGTGCGAGGAATCCAAAAGATTTACGGTTAGTGCAGGTGAAGATGGCATCAGCTGTAACATAATAGACTCAGAGTCAAGTCTGAAATTTCTGACATCATATTTTGGAGATTTTAACATTATTTTCAAGATTCTAACGAGGTAATGACGACAACGCGTTTTTCGTAAGACCTTTATCATGCTGCCACCATTTCAGTCATGTTCCTTGTATCCAGTGACAGTGTCAGAACCAGACAATTTGTTTTCCTTTCAGCCTCGCTTTAGGTATACGACTATATGAAAGGGAGATATCACGATGGCTGCAACACGTACGAAACACGATCCCTGAAAATGCTCTTTTCTGTCGTAAGAAAACGTTAATTAGACGGTGTTTTTTGCGAAACAGGCCCTATGTAACACTTTTGCTGTTGATTTGGAGATGAAATTTAGTTCTACATTGTTTGGAAGCATGAAGGAAGTTGGTTGTTGAAGAACCGGTTGCGATAGAAGTGTTTTCTTGATCCAGAATTTACATTTGCCGACCGCTACTTTCCGAGCCAACATTTTGTCATGGAATACTTAAATTGTATGCCATAGCATAATGAGGAATACCCTCACATTTGACTTTTCAAGTTATCTACATCATAGATTCATTACAGACATCATCAATTTTACCAAACTTATTTCTGTCGCTTAATTTATTCCAAAGATATACCGCAGGATCCTCAACAGTGTCCTGCCAAACTTCGCCAACCTCATTTCGAGAAAAAGTCTTTAAAAATAAAAGCACGCACTGCGCCGCTAACGGCAGTGAAAAGCGTTCTCCATTTTTTCCAATTTTGTGGGCATTGTATCCCCAACTAAAATGCCTTGTGTGAATCTTGGATACCATGGCTTGTCAAAAATACCAAACAACCAAAATCGATTTTTTTTTTTACAAGATTTGTCTATCAAATCGTATAACCGCAAACCTCGCTCTCGTATGTTCGTGCAAAGCTCCCCATAGGCACACGACACAACATCACTTTTTTTTGCCGATTTTAGACTCGGTGCGCGCATAATTTTGTCACCATTTCCACCGTTAGTTGCCTCAGTGAACTAGGATGATATTACATTTCCCCCACCCCTTGTTCCATCATCAGGTTCGAGACCACGCGCTCGTCCAACGCCCGAATCTGACGGGGCGATGATCGTTCCGCCAACACCGCGCACTGGAGACGAAAAGAAACGAACGCCGGACGCAGTGTCCGCTATGTGCCAGGAGCCGTTCACTGCTCTACTGAAAAAGGACGATAAACTGTTCGCGTTCAGGGTAAGTCTTTACAGATTTTCCGTCAAATGTAACTTATCTTATAGCTCATCTTTTACGTATTAAAAACATCGGACATAGATGCATTCATCGGACAAGAACCATTCATAAATACCCGGCACAATGCACAATTTACCAATTCCTGTCGGTCGAGTGGCCGTCATGTGGGTGTTCTTAAACCGTCGTTGAAATACCGTTCGGGGTCTGGCCTTTCTCGGCGGCCAGACCCTTACCGGTTTTAAATCACACTGTTATAACTGTTACCTCACACCGTATCCCCTCATTTAAATCGAAAAAATTAGAGGGCCTGAGGTTCGCATCATGCAGAATCTTTCTCAAAAGTATGATTTGTGTATTTGTCCGATTTGTGTATTTTGAGGTCAGTTAGTCAGAACCCCCCCCCCCCCAGCAGTTTGCAGTGGTTTTTGATTTCTCATAAAAACAACAACATTTAAATAGACAAAGTGTTGAAAACGTATCAAAGTTAAAAGACTGATCAAAAATGAAAAACCGGTTCTCCGGTTCAGTGTCTGTGTTGAATGCCGTGGTCATTCATTTTAGTCATAAAAAAATCCTCAGGCATTTTTTTCTTGGAAGTTGTGTTCGATTAAATTTTCAATGCCTGATTCAGGACAATATGGTCTGGCGAATCCGTGTCAGAGACAGACGCCTGTTATCACCTCCGAGCGGGGAACCAGCCAAACGGTTCTGGAAAGGAATACCCGATCGGATAACCGCCGCGTACCAGCGACAGGATGGCAATGTGGTCTTCTTCAAAGGTGAGGATTACGCCCGCCAAATGTACTTTCTTAAGTTTTGGCAAAAGTCACATAGGTGAAAGGTATTAAAAGAAAGTACCACTGCACCAGCCTGAATCCCATTCGATCATCTGTGTATCAACTTTGCTCTTTCAAAAGATGCGATACTAATAATAATAATGTTGTGCTTGTATATAAGCTGTATATCAAAGGTCTCAAACGCTTCACAATTATTACTGCCCCTGTTCATCACGCCATGAGGCTAGTTTTGCAGCAGCTCAAGATCAGTGCATTCTGGTCTCAACCTTCATAGGCACATGTACCCATTTATACTCCTGGGTGGAGAGAGGCAATTGTAGTAAGGTAGAGAGAGGCAAAAGTGTCTTGCCAAAGAACACAAGCACCATGTTCCCTGTCAGGGTTCGAACCCACGTACCACGGTGCGTGAGTTTAACACCGTAACCATTAGGTCACCCATCACAGTCATGACTCATGAGATGACAGTGCGGACGGGGACAAAAATGACGACGACGACACTCACAATTTCATATGTTTTTCCAAGGTACAAAGTACTACGTGTACAAAGGCAAACGGCGAGCCAACCGTCCAATGCGAATCCGTACAATGGAGATCAGACGACCACCCATGGCCGCACTGAGAGCCAGCACTGACAAGGTCTACCTGCTGCGAGGCAATGAGGTGTGGCTGTACGATGAGTCTGCGGGGTCAGTTGATGCAGGATACCCACGAAATGTCGGGGCCGTGTGGGCTGATTTGCCGGCCGGCGTGACGGGAGGAGAGATGCTAGATGACGGTAAGCATGGACATATTTACTCAGCAAAAAACATAAATTTGACAAGCGTTATCTGCTGCTTAGCAACACCATGGAATCGGCCTGTGATCCTTAAAATTGTTGGTGTAAATTATTATCTGGGGCCATTATTGATTAAACTACCTATCACAGAAATTTGCTCACGACAGTAATGTTTGCTTGGCAAAAATAGTTTAGCTAAAGTCGTCGGATACATGTACATTTCGTACTTGTGTCTAGTTGGCACTAATTAATTAACAGTATTTTTGCGACTTTGCTGCACCGTGAATTGACCCGTATCTGTGTTGGCGTTTCTTTCAACCACGCGCGGCTTGTTGCTTGTTTTTCATCTTTCGGGCTCCAGTAAACGTTCGTTACTCCATTTTCTACCCGTGATTTGAAACCGAAATCAGCTTCGAAGCTATAACAACCATCTTCCGATTTACATTGTTTTGGCAGGTAACGCCTTGTTCTTGAAAGGCAACCGATATTTTGAGGTGGACATGAATAATCGAGTGACGTCACCACGCGGGAGCCAATCACGTCTGTTCAGTGTGGATTTTCTTGGATGTCCTGCACCTTGAAGCGGCCACACTGCATCGCCATAATAAACAGCTATCATTACACTTGCAGTTATCTTATTGTAAACCCTCCGTTGTAATAATAATAATAATACCGAAGTCTTATAAAGCGCACGTATCTACCAACAATTAGGTACTCAAGGCGCTCGAAATGATGTCTATTTAGACAGGTAAATGAAGTACATGAGAAATATGAGAACCATTATGTAGCACCTTTATAATGGTTTACAAGGTGCTGCGGCGCATATTTCAGCCACTGCCAGAAACATCGGGGCAAAAAAACACAAAAAAAACAGCTGTCAAAAAAAAATCATACAAATTAGTCGGAAACCCCCCCCCCCCCCCCCGTGACACCCCCCCCCCCCAAATTATACAGGTATAATGTCCGCCTGTTCAAAATACGGTACAGTCCAAGGTATTAACAGTCAAACAATCCAAATGTTAAGTATGTTCAGAGTCAGGGCACTGAGAGCCTTTCCTCAGTCACATTGGACTTGGCTCCAATCTGACATTCCGTTATAAATTATAAACATGCGTGCCAGATCTCGGAAAAGGTGACAGGGGTGCTTGCACTTTGCTGGCTTAGGGTTTGGAGCAAAAAGGCAGTTTTGTTTTAGTTGTGCACGTGCTAATACAACTGAATAGTGATAGCACTTAGAATTATTTAACAAAAAAAGGAACAGTGTCGCCGGGGTGAGGGGGCTACCCCCCTCCCCTGGCTTCGCCACAACCGTGTAACGTATGTATCACTGAAAAGAACATTACAATTTGAAAGATGATTTTCAGTAACCACGAGTCGTCTTTTTTTATTATCAATTCCTCAACACTACATCTGGTGTTGTTTAATTTGTATAAAGTAAGTTTTCTACACAGATGTGTACGAGAGAAAAAGATACCAGCGAAGATAGGTTGCATGACAATAAAGTTATCAACGTCAGCGGTGAAAAGTGGTGCGCTTGTCAAGGGGACTACTGCTAACCTTCATCCACTAAATAATGAAAGGTTTGCGGAAACACCATGCACGAATAATTTCTCAACTAAGAGAATGGTTCTGAAAAGAACCAGAGGTATAAACACGACGTTCCGGTCAGTATGCTCTGACCGTCTTCAGGAGAACATACTGACCGGAATGTCCAGTTTATACCTCTGGTTCTTTTCAGAACCGTTCTCTTAGTTGAGAAATTATTCGTGCATGGTGTTTCCGCAAACCTTTCATTATTTAGTATCTCCACCATGCAAAGCCTCAAATCTTATTTCATCACTAAATTCTTATTTTCAAATCTTGAGGCTCTTAGAGCCAGGTTCATACATGTACTTCATGTGGATCAATTTCCTGTCAACCATATTAACGTAACAACTGATGTCGAGATGAAAGTCTCTGTATAGTGTTAATGTAAAGTATGGAACAAATCTTGACCTTCAACAATTCAACAAAATCCAGCAGTACATGTAGGTAATTTGTAAATACGATTTTACTTGTAGCTGATCTGAAAATGTAACAAGTTTGAATAAATGACCTACTGCAAGTCTTTACGATATGATTGATATGCAAACTTGAGTAGCGTCTCTTCTTTGCTGATGAGATTTGTCTTGCAATGACCAAGAAATGTCCCTGTCTGACAATGACCACGACATATGACAAGTGGACTCTGATGAGATAATTACTAAGACTTGGAGATTTCACCAAGAGTGAACTGTGTGACATTTCTTCAAGTCACATGTACTTTTTGATTCTCCTGTCCTGCAAAGACCAGAACACATGATAACATGACAATGACCAGGACATTGCAACAGGACTAAAGGGGGAACTAGCATAACATCTCGTCCTTGTTGATGAGGTCTATGCATGCTTATAAAATGTCCCTGACCAATAATGGCCAGATCGTGTGACAAGTTGACAATGACAAGGTGACAGTGACCAGGACATTGCAACAGGACTAAAGGGTAAACTAGTATAACATCTCTGCCTTGTTGATGAAGTACATGCACACTTATAAAATTGTCCCTGGCCAAAAATGACCAGAACATGTGACAAGTTGACAATGACAACATGACAGTGACAAGGACATCACAATTTGACTAGCGAGTAAGCTGGTGTAGCATCTCCTCCTTGTTGATGAGGTGCGTGGTCTTGTTGACCAGCTGCATCAGTTCGTTCAGGTTGCCGGACCAGTTGTTCAGGATCTCGTTGGGATCCTTGGCAGGGGAGAAGTTGACGATGCCGTCCAGACGATCCACCTTGGCGTAGATGGTTTTCTTGATGACCAGATTGGATAGGAATTCCTCGGCCTCCTGCAATCGGAGAACGATTAACAATTTGAATACAAAATCTTGTGATTGACTGATCAGTATTTTCAATTTTGTTTTAGTTGTTGCTGGTAATGGAATAAGGGATTCTTTAATGGTGCACAGATACTGTAATTCAGAAGTCTGGACAACCTTGAGGGAGAAGACAATTGTGACGGTTATAAAAAGACAGCCCCGTTATTTTTGGCTTCAACCTTATTTACACGTAAATTCAAATTAACCTAGCGCCCCCAATGTCTGATATCGGGCACGAACTTGTTCGTTATTTCCTGAAGACTGAAGTAACATCACTTCATGTACATTTGTCTTCAGGTATACAGGTAATTATAACTATCTATTTATTTTCGTTCATAATCTTTACATCAATGACCTTAGATGACATCACAATTCCTTGACTACCCATTTCTGTTTGTATTTCCTTATTTCCTTATTAGATGGTATTTTAACTAAGTTTTATTCTTGAAACGTTGAAATCCAATATGGCAGACCCCGCGAAAGTTTCGGCGGGAAAATGTAACTATTGTTTAATTATTTGAATGGATCCTAATTATTTCATGAACTGAAATTAATTCGAATTCATCTTGCTTTAATCTTACTGCTTAATTGTAGTCATGTTGTAAACACATTTTGACAGTTCGTTATTTCCAGAAGACTGAAGTAACATCACTTAATGTACATTTGTCTTCACATAACACAGAATAAATTCGCTGCATGTACATGAATACTGCATCTGAAGAGCTTCCGATCCCTAATTTCAAGAGTTTCACACACTGAAGAAATATTTGGTTTTAGTGGTGGGAGGAAAACAGCCCGGAAGGGTTATTTCAGGAAAAAAAATTTGGAATCAGGCAGGGACTGAAAACCTCATCAACACATTATCCCGGTTTGGATTTTATCTGATATAATCTGATAACAAAAGCTGACCTTAGAGAGGCAGAATTTGTTTCATCAAATTATGTTTTCAGTTATTCATTTATTGACATACATTTTTCTTATATAAGGGGCCCTAGAAATCTTCAATTGATGGGCGAAAGAAGGTTCAAATGTGCCACAAGCAAAGTTATTGCTTGTGGCATTGACACAGGCAATTTGATACTTACACTTTCAGCAAGTTCCAAGAGTTCCGCCATTCTAGTCAGTGTGATGCGTGTATAGTACTTGGCCATCACCCGGATGTTCTGCATAGAAAAACAAAACAATTGTTGAATGGTACAGTCACCTGTTTTCTTTGTTCAAGCTTTTGTTTAACATAATGTGTATGGACACACAAGGCAACTGCACTGACTCTTCACTGTGCACATGCTACCTTCCGAGATCTAACTCCCAGGTAAAACAACCCCTCTTAAGATTGGCTGTAATTTGTACAAGTTATCTATCTACCAATGTATATAATGAGGCTTCTCCACACAGGTTGTCAACTCATACAAGTGTTATAAGATGGAATTTTGCGTCGGGGTGATATAAATCAAATTAGATTTTGCCCTTCACCGACGTTTTTTTTTAACTCGGGAGGTAACACACTGAGTATACAGTGTTTAAAAAACGTCGGTGAAGGGCAAAATCTAATTTGATTCATACAAGTGTGTATTTGCCTGCAATCGGAGACCCCCTATTGTCTCTCTTTTGTTTGTACTTCAACTTTTTAGGAAGACTTTCCATATGTTTTGTACACGATCGTAAATTGGGGACCTTCGGGAATTGGGGACCCTATTGTCCAACGTCCCCTATTGAATGCAGAAACAATCTTGGGAACACTCATACACATGCAAACCTTTTCGCCTTACGGTATAGCGGTGATTTTTTTATATGAAAGAAACTGACTAAATCTTGATTTGAGCCAGTGACACACAGAACACCACACTGGTGCTCTACCAACGAACCTCTCCAGCCCATACCTTGGACTGTTGCCAGCGTCCATATTGGTCAAAAGGAATTGAATCAGAAAGTTTGAAAAAGGAAATACTATTCGATAGTGTAAAAGTACTACTATAAGGTAATGCCAAGAGCAGTGCTGAATTTCGAATCCATCACAAGTTCTCACAAGTCTGTCAATCACAAGTCATCCAGTCCTAAGTCAGTTCACAAGCTATTCAAATGGACCATGAGAAAAGACTTTTCTTATTATCGTTCATCCCCAAGCATGGGCGTCGTGAAGAGGGGGGGGGGGGGCAAGGGGTCCCCCCCCCCCTCGGGGGAAAAGCTAAAAAAGAAAAAAAAAAACCAACAAACCAAAATGGAGAAACAAAACAGGAAAAACAAAATGAAAAGAACAAAAGACAAGGGGCAAATCATATTACTGTTAACAACAGTTTTTAACAACGGTCAAGTGATATCTAGCACCCCGTGTCACTTTTTCCACAGCCTGTGATTTCTCGCTTCGCTTCTGTGGAGTGCTGTGCCCCCTCTAGAAAAAAATCCTGGTGGCGCCCATGTCCCAAAGTGTTACTTGATGGGAAGATAACATCAAGGCGTGGATAGGCCCTAGCTTCAGCAACTCCCAGAGGGCAGCAGAGGACAAGGAGAGATGGCAAGAACTGGTAAAGGACGTCATTGGCCGCCAAATGACCCTCCCAAGGATTAACCCCTCAAAGACGGTGAGCGACTATAGCTGCGGCCGCTAATCCTCACTGGAATGCAGTTGCCAGCTGTGGTATGCCTTGGCTCACAGCTAATGGGAAGTTCCACAGCTGCTGCTTTTGTGCAGTCCCGCTACCACACAAAGGCTGTGTAGTCATGCGGGTCACTTGCTCCATGTGTGGAGGAATGTCCCCATTATAACCCGTCCTTAAAGGGTTACGGAACAGGATAGGTAAGGACGTGTTACTCATGACTGGCGAACTGACTTGTGATTTACTTGAATCTCGACCTATGGGCAATTCCACGGTTACTCACGTTACGTTTTCGTAACGTGAGTAACCGATTTTGTGCGTCTTGTTTATCATACTTAACACATTTTTCTGGATGTCATCTTTGGTGCTTAGGTAGGTCTAGGTCTACTTTATCTACCATGGGGATAACGGTTATTAAACTTTTTCAGTAAGGTAACTACAGCCCAAGAAAACTCAAAAGTACATCAAAAATGTAACGTGAGTAACCGTGGAATTGCCCCTATAGACTTGTAATGGACCTGACCACAACACTGACCCAGAGATTGTGTCCGGTATACAAACTCACATGTTCCACCACCCTGTTCCTGAGGTCATTCCAGCGCTGTTTACCCTGCTCATTGTCACTGAAGACGTCCGTGGACGCGCTGTCGGCCGAGCCGTGCTTCAGCTCCTGCTCGTAGATTGCACACACCTGTTGCCATCTCATCAGCTCTTGGGTGGTGAAGCATTTCAACAGATCTCTAAACGATGCAAAGAAAACAACAAGACGTTATCTGGAATCTCATTTCAGGTCATTTGAAGCTGTAGGTTTCCAAGACAGAGTTAGTGAACCACTTAAACTCTTCCATTATAGAATAAAGGTAGAGTATATCATTTGTCATTTGTCTATTTTTTTTCGTTTAAAGCAACAAAAGTGCTCAAAATTCTAGTCATTGGATATGCCAGTTATTGGATATTGATAATTTCGGATGGAAAGGATTAATTGAAAGCATTAATTGAACCTGATCCTACTACCATGAACACAGGCTTAGCGAACTAAATCTCAAACAAAATATCAAATAAAATAAAAAAGGGAAATCCTTCAAAAGTACAAAAAAGCAAATATCAAATGTGATTTTAAAAAGCTTAAAACTACAATGAGGCAGACAAACAACTCATGAACAACTTGTTACCTGTATTTGGGGATTTCCTCCAGATTCTTATCCTCGGCTACCCGGTGAATCAGATCAGACTGCTCGTTATCAAAGGGTGCTAACACTAGGTAGAGAATCACATGCTTCGAGATCTAAAGAGCAATGAAACAAAAAGAATTGTCACATCAAAGTAATTGTTATTTAATAAAATGAAGAGTTATTTAGTAAAATTTCTTACAAACGATTTTTGCAGCCCCCAATTTTTTTTTTTATCCCTTGATTGATAAATAATTATTCAGTTGTGTAGGATGCTAAAAAAAAAATAATGCTACAGTCGTTAATGGCATGAAAATGTCATTTCAGTTTACTGGATGAAAACAAAAATGAGTTGCTCTAATTTCCATCTACATCCTGAAGTTAAGTCAAGTTAAACAATATTTGTTTTCTTGGAGTTTGCTGTTCTTAAGGATGTATTACATGATATAGGCTCTGTGCTTTAACAGAGAGGGCGCTTTTTGCCCACTTTTGAGAGCCACGGTGGATGGGACACACTGGTTCGTGCCTGTATCGCACAACAAATTTTATTCTGACTGTGCACTAAGCCAAAGTGTCTTCTCCTGAGTGTCTTCTCCATTCCAATGTCTTTTCCAGGATTCTCCCCCAACTCTCCTTTCCTTGTCGTTGAGGAGGTACTTGTGCAAGGAGCCCATAGACATAAAAGAAACCAACAGCTACACATGTAAGAGACACCAAAACTTTCCACATTTCATCACCTTTGTTGGAATGTATTCATGAGAATATCAACCAGATATTTGTGTTTTACCTCCTTCCATTTGGTTGGGTCTTCCTTGATGATGGCCGTATCATACAGAGCTCTGTAATGTCTACAGATGTCCAGATAGGCACCCTCGTGCTGGTCTACTTCAATCATCAGACGATAGAATTTTAGTTTCTGCTCCTGTTGGCAAAAAGTAGCAGGCATTTGTAAGATCAAAAAATCTGACATCTGGAGTGTTCAGGACAATTCAGTGAGTTGCTTAGCGCAGTAATTCTGCTGAGCACAGAATAGGGGTGTGCATTTACGGGTAGTGCGGGAACCGGATACCCAATTGACATAAACACGTGTACCCGGGTACCCGTAAAAGATTGTTCAGATTGTTCATTAACCCTAACCCCTTGGGCTCTTTTACTAGAAATTATCCTGAATCTGCCAAAATCCATCAATTTGGCCATGCCAAAAAAAAATTGGTGGCCAGTGAGTCCATCAGAATCCACCAGTTAGGCAAGCGTAAATCTGTTGAGATCCTGAATTCGCCAAAGTCCCCCAACAGCTCAATATAGAGGTATCCTGAATCCATCAAAATCCTGCAGTTCCGCTAAGCTTACAATCCTGAGTACATCAAAATCCCCCAGTTTGTGCAATATGGAGGTATCCTGAATCTGCCGAAATCCCCCGAAACAGGGGGGGGGGGGGGCGGATTTTGATGGATTCAGGTACGTTAGGGTTAAGGTGCGCACAATAACACTATCACATTGGTGCATCAGTGCAGCAAGATAAAAGTGTATACTGTGTGAGTGTCACCTGTCCCACGTTAAGATGCACAATTGAGACAAAAAGTAATCATAAAAAGCGAGTCCATGACTTCCTATCCTAGACGGATGTAGTAATTGGATTGTTCTAGCTATAGTGGAATTCAATGAACAAAAATAGAAGCCTTTTTTTGGCAATGGCCACATCCGCGCGCATGCCAAACGCATTCTTAAAGGGAATGTACATCATTGGCTTTTGCTGTAATTTTCAGAAATGAACTATTTGAGGGGTTAGTATAATAGATCAAATATTGTTTACACTGACATTTTTGAAGTTTTGGGTTCGAAAAGGTTGGAAAAACCAAGAAAAACAAAAATGTTCAAGTAGTCTGGTTCCCTGACTCCACAAAAGATAAAATGGATCAATTTACAGATGATGGAAAATTGTAAGGCAAGGGAACCAGTCTAGCTGGCCTGCACCCGTTCATGAACATGTAACCAATAGCAAACAAAATTTGGACTGAAAAAAAATGGTAAATTTGGAGCAGTAGTTGAAAAATGGTTAGGTTTTTCCAACGCTGGTCGGCCGACCACCGTTGGAAATGTGTACAAAAATACCATTCTCTTGAAAATGACTTCACACCAGGTGCCGTAATTTTACAAGATGCTTGAGACTGTCATTTACCAACATCCTAGTAAGGTATTTCGTAAAATTTTGGTAGTTTTATATTTCGATGTTTGCAAATGTTGTATATTCCCTTTAAAGACGAGGAGCGCACGCATTTTGGTAAAACTGTCGGCTGAAGGAGCCCGGAGTGCGTGCGTATTACCTGAGAGTGTCTAGCGCGAGCCTGGTGCCACTGCAGACATTGGCTGTTGCCGGGATGTTCCGACTCAGTTAATTTGTAATTTGAAACAATACATAGTATTATGTTACTTAAAGGGAAAATACAACATTTGCAAACATCAAAAAATAAAACTACCAAATCATTTTGAAATACCTTGCTGGACTGTTAGTGAATGACAGTGTAAAGCATCCTGTAAAATCATGGCACCTCGTATACTGTCATTTTCAAGAAAAGTGGTATTTTTGTATCAATTTCCAACGCTGGTCGGCCGACAAGCGTTGGAAAAATTGGCTTTTTTTCAAATACTGGCCCCAATTGACCATCGCACTTGTTTGCAATCGATTACACACCTATGAACGGGTACAAGCCAGCTAGACTGGTTCCCTGACCTTACAATTCCCCAATGTATGTAAACTGCTCTGTTTCTTCTTATATGGAGTCAGGGAGCCAAACTACAGGAAAATGATTGTTTTTCATGGTTTTTATAGCATTTTTGAACCCAAAACCTCAAAAAGTCAGTGTAACTATATTTGCTATATATTTCCAACCCCCTATTCTATCCATTTCTGAAAATTACAGCAAAAGCAAATGATGTATATTCCCTTTAATTGAAATGACAAATTGTTTTAAGAGGATTCCCTCGTATTAAATCCTGGACCTAATCCTTTGAATTTGTTTTTTTCTTCTGTGTGTATTGTATTTCCTCTCCATCTAGGATTTATATTTTCCACGTGGCAAGTGAATTCAACATGATTATTATTCATATTCAGCAATCATTAGCAGACTGAGGTGCTGCATTCACCTGAACACTGGCCTCGCTGGACTCAAAGAACTTGGGGCTGATTTTCTTGCTGATGATCTGGGTGCGGATGAAATCTTTGGTGGTCAGACACAGGCGCATCTGCTCCAGAATGAAATCCACTTTCTCCTTTTTCTCCATGGAGCCAAACGTTTCAACCTAAAGACAGCACAGGAGACGACACAATTTTTAATCAGAAAATTGTGAAGAATTGGCTTTTAAATCACTTCTTTGAGTGGAAAAAGGAGGCTAAGCAGACTTTTTTTTCAGTAAGTTATGAGCTGCAAACTCTGAAACAAGTCCAAATGCACCCTGGCTGATCTAGGACCAAGTTCAAATCCCATCCAGGCCAACAAGTGGATTGCGTTTTCAGTCCCTGCCTGATTCAGTAAGGTGGTTCCCAGAATATACGTAAAGCTTTTCCTCCCACCTCTAAAAACTTAACAGTTTGTCATTGTCCTCTCTTCACAAGTTCCTTCAGGCTTGCAAGTATACAGTACTATGGGTGATTTTGACGAATCCTTGGTTTCTTGACTAAACATGCAGTAATAATAATAACAGGTACACTACTAGTTTGTACTACATTTACTGTTGTTCCTACAATGGATGTCCTGCAATGTGCTGAAGAGAAAACAAATCTACATTGGCATGTTAGGGGGAGACTTCTGGAGAAGTTTTCATTTTGCTGAATGCATAGTCAGAAGATTGCAAACTTTCCCATGAGGAATGAAATCGGTGTTACTTATGCAGCAACAAAAACATATACAGTCGAGTCTCGTTATAACAAACTCATTCGGACCTAGCCAAATTGTTTGTTATATCAGAATTTTGTATTGAGAGGAACATCAGTCCCATTCACTGTGCATATAAATGCACAATCGGGACCAAGGCTTTATGTTTGTTATAACCAGAATTTTGTATTAACAGAGTTTGTACTAACAAGAGTCAACTGTACATGTACATAGGAGAGCATGTGTACTACTGTTTACAAATCTGGCCTTATGGGGCTCATGGGAACAAAGAGCAAGAATAGGGACACTGGGACTCTACAACTTGGTCTACAGAGATCTCAGTACTACAAATTGTGAGATTTCAATAGTAATCTGCGGAGAACAATGTAGGGAAGTAAAGGTCTAAAACAGCAGTACCCCTCAACAACCCACATGCACAGATGTCCACACGATGCAGGTTGTGTTGACGTGATGTGGACTAAGCCGTGTCCACATAACGTTTCGCCCTCTCTGGAAAACAGGTTTAGAGGCATTTTCGGGTTAGGGTTATCCGTCCCAGAATGAAGAGAAACATTCAAGGAAATTTAAAAAAAAGTTGAAAGAGTTTTCATAGTTTAAGTAAAGTTATTTTTTGTACCGAGTTTTCTTAACCACACCAAAACAAAGGAATGTCCACATAGCGTATGCAAAACAAACATGTCTGTGTTTTTGTGTACTTACTTGGAGTTCCTGCAAGATGGTAGCTGCCTCTGTGACGTCCCCCTGTCCTTCCTTGATCTTGGCAAGGGTCATGGTCAGACGAGCTCGCTCAATTTCCACATAGATCTTGCCGGCTGTGACTGTCCTGAGGGTGTCGATCAATTTCAGCTTAGTCTCCATATCAGGCGTCTTTTCGACGTAGCTGCACGCTTCTTGCACCATCTTCACTACGGCCTGCGAGGAAAACACACAAGAGTAGCTGCCATCTGTTCTAGTTTCAGTTCAGGAAAACAAGTCTTTATCTTGGTTAGTTTAGGTGTAACTTACACCTTTCACTTACATACATGTTTGCTCAAAAGTAATGTACATGTATATAAGCATAAAGTGGAAATACATTTGGAGGTACGAAAATGTACCCTCGTTTAACAGCAAAAGTGACAATTTTCAACCTATAGATTGCCACTGTGTGAAGCGAGCCATGATACGCCTGTCAATTGTAAGACAGACAACATGATCCCCCCAGGAATTAATGCCTCATGGGTTACTCACATCCTTTATCGCTGTGATGCAAGGGGTGCGTCAAGTCATGACTTGGTGTGTTAAAGGGAATATACATCATATGCTTTTGCTGTAATTTTCAGAAATGGATGGAATTGAGGGGTTGGAAATATATAGCAAATATAGTTACACTGACGTTTTTGAGGTTTTGGGTTCGAAAATGCTATAAAAACCAAGAAAAACAATCATTTTCCTGTAGTCTGGTTCCCTGACTCCATATAAGAAGAAACAGAGCAGTTTACATACATTGGGGAATTGTAAGGTCAGGGAACCAGTCTAGCTGGCTGGTACCCGTTCATAGGTGTGTAATCGATTGCAAACAAGTGCGATGGTCAATTGGGGGCAGTATTTTAAAAAAAGCCAGAAAAAATCGGCCGATCAGCGTTGGAAATTGATACAAAAATACCACTTTTCTTGAAAATGACAGTATACCAGATGCCATGATTTTACAGGATGCTTTACACTGTCATTCACTAACAGTCCAGCAAGGTATTTCAAAATGATTTGGTAGTTTTCAAATGTTGTATTTTCCCTTTAAACAGGGTGCATCACTTTTCATCAGTGGGTGCTATACAATATAAAAAGGTGGGTTAAAAATGTTATTCAAAACTTCACATTTGGTGGGTCACTACTCTTGCGAAGGGGTTGGGTGGATTCCATTGAAGCATGACTCCCTATTGGACAATGACAAACCTCTCCCAGAGGCCCTGGGGTCCATCTTAGAACTAATGGGTGAATTATCTTTGTCATTACCTGCTTGAGCTGACTGCGTCTCTTGGTCAGCAGTAATATGTTCTCGTTCAGCAGTCCCCACTCCTTGGCTTCATAGCACATGCTGACGATGGCTACCAGGATCCGCGCAGTGGAGTGCATGTCGGCTGCCTGATGAAAATGAAACAGAAAGGCATGAAAATTAATTCAGAGGTTATTCATTTTTTGTACAGTAAATGAAACAGTTCTTCTATCTCTAAATGGGTTTTGTTTATTATGGTAACAAATGTGTCGACATTATCAGGGCTGGATCTAGCTTTCAGGAAAAGGGGGGTGATAATATATATGGAGGGGGGGTGTTTGGGTGTAAGGCTGGGGGGGGGGGGGTGTCCAGGGGCATGCGCCCTGAAAATATGGAAATCTACAATGCTTTCTCTTGCATTCTAAGACAATTCGAGAATACATTAAGGAACATTAGCAATCCATTTATTAGTTTTTTTGGCCTCAGTTTACTAGTATCATAACATTTTTGTCAGAGGCAGCATTTGAAGGGGGGGGGGGGAGGGGGTTTTCAACTTGCAACCCCCCACCCCCCTCTATATCAGCTACTGTTTACCGACAATACACTGCAGGTCATATTAACTGTGAAAGACTCACCGTTCTTGTCTGTTTTTCCAGAGACAGAAGACTCTCTACGCCTTCAGACAGCTTGCCATCCTACATAAACAACAAAAAGGTCTGACATCTTTAAAAAAAGCCATCTTTCTTACACGCAGGATATTTACAGAAGAAAACCTAACATTGAAAACGGACCCTGTCTACATGTCACCCTATTCACTGTGTAATTTTTGTGTTGAGTAGAGAAGTGAAATTGTCAAATACATGTAGCACACATAACTGCCCGAAAAAGTTGCCGCTTTTGTTATCATTAACAGTGATCTCTCCTTATAAAATCTTTGAAGCCCTCTGCAGTGAAACGCGCCCTCTTGTGTGCGCTTTTCGTTCGCGGCCGCGTTTTGCATCCGGGTACTTCACAGAGCGCCAAAGATTTTGGAATGACAGGCAACAGCCGCGGTGCGCTGTGCCAAAGTTGACGCATGCTCAGTAGATGATTAAAGCTCTTGTTTGGTTCCCTGACCCCTTTGGCCTCTTGACTATCAATGACAGTATCATTAGGGTGGCCGGGAAACATATCAGCGACGCCATGCTTGCTCAAAACCGTCTGCATTCTTTGACGAATTACCATGATTTTTGGATAACTAGACCCCTGAAGGTACCGAATTTAACGATTTTGTGCTATTTAGCAGTCATACTATAGCTGGGTTGATTTTCTACTGACCAAATAATTTTGATCTTTAATTAATTTTCGGCGCCCCTAGCAACGGGATGCTCCGCTCACAGGCCGTACGTGGCTCTGTGACTGATACGGAGGTAGTCCAGTATTTCAGTCACATTTATGGGACTAGGTTTTAGGGTCAATGACAGAATTGTGTTGCTCAGCATATAAGGATTAGCTTGGACCCTACTTATCACCAGACCATGTCCAAATGTTAAAAAGGTGATAAGTTGGGTCTAAGTTACTCGGACTATGACTAACCGTACTTCAACGCTCCACTCAGCTCAGTAGAGGCGAGCGGAAAAAATTCCGTACTTGGACGTCACTTTTTTCAATTAATTTTCTAGCGCCAAAAGTTACATCTTTTATGGTTATTCCTCCACTTTCCCTCCTCTACTCTCACCCTCTCCTTTCCTTAATTTCTACGCAGTGGCTATTGTTACGGCAGCCGTAACGCATTTCCCATTTTCTATCGTTACGGTAGACTGCAACCTGGCAACTTTTATAAAAAAACATGACAAGAAAATATAAAATTAGAAGGAAAAAAGTGAATTTGAACTTAATGAAATTCGGACTTTATTTCCCTTTTAAAAAAAATCCTCCAAAGCCTCAGGTTAGAAAAGGAAAAAAATTCGAGTGCAAAACTGAGATTCGAACCCGCAACCTCGCGGTGCAAAATCCTACCCTCTATCGGCTGAGCTGGCGCACTGCTTGATAAAACGTGTGGAAACAAATAATTATATACCTGCGTGCGTATCAAAAAAATATCGTAGAGGGCGCTAAACAACGAGTGCCGTAACGATAGCCACTTCGTAATTTCTATTTATTAATCAGTCAGTTACTTCATCGGGATTCGATGATACACGAGACTCTTAACCGCTAGGCCGCGCACGATCGCTGTTGCAATAATCAATCTTTGGACGTATTTGAAGTATCCATTGAAATAAACTAAATATTCATGAGAAAATAAATATTCATAATGACGTATTGCACTATCATTGGCAGGCTCATGCGACGTCATGGTTGTTGATGTCACGTGTATAACGTTCCGCTGTCTTTCAGCCACTACAATCAGTTTTGACCGGCTGCTTCAAGTTAGTTCTGCACGACGTATGCATCCAAAATGTGCTCTAAAAACACATTTTGAGTAATTTTTTTTCACCTTAACACAGCTTCCTGGATTTCTCTTGGTTCAAATGACAAGGTGAGGTGACAATTAATATGTTTGGCAGCAGATAAATTGACGTCCGAGTATGGAACTTTTCCCAACTACAGTACTCGAATGTGTAATACCGTAACTGGTCAATACAAATGTCCACATCGAAGCAGGGGTGACTTGCGAATTTATGACACCTCCAACTCGACCCATTTCGTGTGTTATTACAGATGAAATAAAAGTGTAATTCTGCCAATCTGAACCAGATGAATTCCTTGATAACAAACCTTCGCCAGCTGTTGACATTCTGGGATTCTCTTGTCAACAGCTTCGCTGTAATCAACTTCCATTTTCTGAAGTCTGCCATCGCCGGCACCTGTGTCCTCCATTTTGGTTTTGTATGGTACCTGACAGTCGATGGCAAAACTGCACGAGCACCCGATGCGTTATTTCAACAAAGGAAAGATCGTGTGGGACCCGACTGTATACTCCACAAAGTAATTAAAGGACGCCCTCTGCCCATTGCAGCCAGAGGTTTTTTTTAATGGAAATCATCGAGATTGCGACTGTCCAAAATGGTTTGGGTTAGATAAGTCTTGTGGGCCTATACATACCGTGTAAATCTATTTAGGTATTTCAATCAGAGGTACACAATCCTGTTGCTATTAGATAATTGTAGTCAGTCTATTAGGCCAACTGGGGCCATATTCATGAAACTAATTTAGCAGCGAACTAGGCCTTAGTAGCCTACTAAAATGCCTAGTAGTCTACTATGGAGTTGACAACTAAATTGCTATTCATGAAACCTTACTAGGAACGTTGCTAAGTAGTTGCATACTAGAAGAATTTAGTTGCATGCGTGATTAACTGGAATTGGGTGCTTTTGGGTAGAGTGGGCATGTATGGAATGTGCATGATGACAACAGATACAATAGTGTGAGGTGTATTAGGCTAATCCATGTCGAGCATTTGCGCGGTTTAGCAAAAAAAAATACCAAGGCCTATAAATTATGTTGTATAGTGTACTGCGTCTGCATGTGAGTGAATCAACATCAAATCCTCTAGCATGAATTGCATATAAAGCTAGGTTATCAGACATGGCTACAAAAAAGGCAAGGAAGGCAAATTATTCTCAACAAGAGAACTCTTTATGGCAGACAAGTATGAGGAATTAAAAGATATGTTTGATGCTAAGCATAAAGATGCAAACGTGCACTAACAGGACAAAGAAAAATGCACGGGCAGCTATTCTTATCCAACACCGTGCAAGATTTTCACAGGTTGAAAGATCATTGGATATTTAAAATTTAGATTATCCAAATTAAAAACTGAGTCAAGAGAATGCCTGTGAAGAATGATAATTAAAGGGAATATACATCATTTGCTTTTGCTGTAATTTTCAGAAATGGATGGAATTTGGGGGTTGGAAATATAAAGCAAATATAGTTACACTGACTTTTTGGAGGTTTTGGGTTCGAAAATGCTATAAAAACCAAGAAAAACGATCATTTTCCTGTAGTCTGGTTCCCTGACTCCATATAAGAAGAAACAGAGCAGTTTACATACATTGGGGAATTGTAAGGTCAGGGAACCAGTCTAGCTGGCTCGTACCCGTTCATAGATTTGTAATCGATTGCAAACAAGTGCAATGGTCAATTGGGGCCAGTATTTGAAAAAAAGCCAGTTGTTTCCAACGCTGATCGGCCGATCAGCGTTGGAAATTGATACAAAAATACCACTTTTCTTGAAAATGACAGTATACCAGGTGCCATAATTTTACAGGATGCTTTAGACTGTCATTTACCAACATCCTATTAAGGTATTTCGTAAAAACTTGGTAATTTTATTTTTCGATGTTTGCAAATGTTGTATATTCCCTTTAAGTCCAAGAAGTCAACCGGAGGGGCCGGGGAAAAGCCACCTAAAGAGCCAAGTCTGACACAACAGAAATGATATAGTAGTTGCTATCTAGTGACTTAGAGTTGCCCTGGATCAACACTAACTTTAGTAAGAAACTTAGAATTTAACTAACGGTAGTAATGTTTCATGAATAGCAATTAGTTATCAACTAGGCTTATACTTATAGTAAACAACTACATGCCTTTTTAGTAACCAACTATGCTTAGTAAGGTTTCATGAATATGGCCCTATGGTTACTAAAGGCATGTGTGCACGGCCGCGGGGAAGGGTAATTTGTCTATTATGTGTGCATATGGACCTGCAGCCTCTAATAATCACACAAAGACAGAATCTAGCGTAAACATTCAAGTTCAAAGCAACTTGGCCTTTACCGTTTATTGACTTTCTTCAAAAGTTGGCTCTCTCAAAGGTTGACAACCACCACTCGGACAAGGCCAACAAAAAATCTCTGTTCTACTGCTCGCCAATTTTTTTTTTTTTTTTTTTAACATTTAACATTAATTGTAATTCACAGTTAGAACAAATTAAATCAAAATCACCCAATTAATAAATTCATCAGGATGATTAATAAGTATCATGATGAATAACGATTATGTAAATACAGGGTAGGTCTGCATGAGCCAGAAGCAAATGCGCAAGAAATTCACTAGTTTCACTAAGATACATGTGCATTACAAAATACATTTCTATACTCGAAAGAATCTGCACCACAAGTAGACACATTTGTAAAAGCAATACTTCCTTTCAAGATAATGGTCTTTCCTAGAGACATAAATCATTCGCCGACATTTGTTTTAAAATTATGACTAGGGGTCATTACTCATGAGCCGGCAGTGATGTAACTAGGATCGCATTTGCAGGGGTGTACTCGGCTTTAGGTGGGCCTCATTTTCTGGAGAGGGGTATTCAAAAGGTTTTTAGTTACGCCACTTCAGGCCAGGGCATACCCCGCACATTTCTGCACTGTACAACGATTACCGATCAAAACTTACTCCTCTCAAAATGACTGTGCAAAGAAGTCATTCCTAAAGGGGGATAAAGAGAAAAACATATTCCACTTTTACAGTAGCGTATCCAGCTTTTGATGTCGGGGGGCAACCGCAAATCCGCGCGTAGACATGTTTTTCACTCCAGACACTTTATCTTGGTACGTCTCCGTAAATCAAAAAGGGGGGGGGGGGGGGGGGGGGGGGGGGGGGGGGGGGGGGGGGGTGGGGGGGGGTGTTCTACCCATCTTCCAAATGGGGGCGCTCTTTGAAAGAAACAGAAAAAATATATATGCCGATTTTAACGGCACATTGAAATGGTTTTTGAACTTGTTTTATTTGTTTGGGTTGATGTCAGAACTCTCTAACCATTTATGGAAAACTTACTGAAAAAATATCTTTCCAAAAATCCGCCGGCGGGGGGCCAGGTGCTCCCCCCAACCCCCCACCCCCCCCCCCCACACCCCACCACCATCTGGGTACGCCACTGCACTCTTAATTTTACAAATTATTAGGAGTGCAAACTGCTGGGGGGAAAAAGCATCGATTTTATGTATAATTAGTGACAGTACCAATTTCTACCAATATCACCCCATCCGAGCTATTCTGATTTCAAAGTCCGGAAGATTTCCGGATATCTTGTTCATCATCCACTCGCGACTTTGACAAACAAAAATATATCACAACCTTGGTCTTTGCAGGACATTAAACATTGTATTATTAAAATAATAATATTAGTTTAATAAAGCCTATATTATAGGCTATATTACCGAGTAAATATTGTTCGGTTTTCATTAAATTATTAACGATCGATCCAGTAGGCTAACGACACCGCCCCCCCCCCCCCCCAGAAAGCTGCGACAAAATATAGAAAGAAACTGGAGAAATGTCGGTTCTGATTTATCTTCCATCATAAAAATAATTGTTGATACAATTTGAAACAACTTTACCCAGGCTATGCCCAACACACTTGTACAAATACAATACATTACAAATACAATAAAACACAATGAAATGAAATATAAGCACCCGGGATTACAGGGGCGGATCCAGGAATTTACGCAGGGGAGGGGGTCATCAACAAAAAATTATGAAATGTCGACAGTATTTTCCTCCTGACACTTGGCCTCCGAAAATCAATAAGGTGATGGCGGGGGGGGGGGGGGGGGGGGGGGTTCTTGTACCATTCTTTCAATGGGGGCGCTGTTCAAATCCGCTGATTATCAACACTATATTACAGATAGTGTACAAGAACCCTAACCAAGCTGGCAATGGCCTTTTTTGTGCACCGGCGGATATTATTACCAGTTCATTTTTTGGGGTGTCGGAGCGGGGGGGGGGGGGGGGTCGTATTATTTTTAAAGAATTTCTATGAAAAAAAAATGACCGAGCGAGGGGGGGGGGGTGTCCGGCGCCTGGACCACTGCATGACTACAAATGACTATACACACAAGTACAAATACAATACATTACAAAAACAATACAACACAATGAAATATTTTAAAAGCATACGGGATTGACTACAAATAACAATGCACACATGTACAAAAACAATACATAACAAATACAATACAACACAAAGAAACCAAATAAAAGCGTGCGAGATTACTGCATGATTGCAAAGCAATAAATATTATACATTACAAATAAACATATACAGTTTGAAGCGACATCGACATCGGCACAATAGCACTCGTTAAAATATAACTATAATAATTATTACCATACAATATCACGTATCAGTTTTTACATTAGCTAACAAAACCCAAAAATGGTAATACACAATTAAATTTTTATTTTAACAATTTCAATCTCCAAAGTGAATCTTATTTCTAACCCGTCGTGCAACGAAACTATATGCGAATTAAAGAGATAGGAATTAAGAACCAACAAAACAATGACTACAAATAGTTATACGGCACTGAAGTGGAACGCGTTCTGAAGTGTTCCGACTTGAGTCAAGTCTACTACTGTGCCGGTTTTCACTTCCAAGTTTTATAGTGATTCAATGAAGTTAATTTCAACGAATGTTGTTATTTTGATTTGGTTTGATTGAATGTCTCTTTCGAATACAATCCGTTGGCTGTCGGTGCCGGTGCAGCAACCCAACCTCGTGTGTCAATCGTTGTCGACACTAATCTGTAGGGATGGGTGATTAAAAACAGTTTTGTTTCACTATAAGTATGTGTGCATGGGAGGGGTGAGGGTTTATTAATGTTTTGCCTTTGTATGCATAATTATCGACCTGCAGCCTCCAAAAATTGTACACAGACATAATCTAGCGTAAGCATTCAAAGCAACTCGGCCTACCATTTATTGACTTTATTCAACAGTTTACCCTCTCGAAGGTTGACAGCTACCACGCATACTGGGCAACAAATACCGCTCCAATTTGACTGTTCGCCGATTTGTTTTACATTAGATAATTAACAGTAAAAGAATTACATCTAAATCACTCAATATCCTGATGAATAACTATTATGAGAATTCAGGGTTAGCCATGCAGTAACGTGCCGAAAATCAACTTATTTAATGTG